GGCATGGACAGTGTTCTGTGGTGGCCTTTTCACCCTCCAAAGGTGATTACTTCTTGATTTCTCTTTCCCCGAGCCTGCCTCTCAACTTCCCAGACTTTAAGCTGAAACCTCCGATTTCATTGAAAATAAACAGAAGCCTTTAGTCCCCCAACCTCACAGTACGGAGCCACCCCCACCCCGGGTGCCATCTCCCTACCCTCCTCTTGTTGAGTTCGAAGGGTCCTTTGCCTCTCAAAGGCAGGTCTGTCCATTCGCCTTCCCGTCTTGCTCCTACAGAGACCTCTTCTTTTTTCAGTGTCAGGGTTTTCTCCCATTCTATTAGATCCCTCAAACATCATTCTCTGGTTTCTCTTATTATTTAAAGAAAAACCCTTTTGGCCACACACACTCTTCCCACAGAACTTTGAAGCAGTTGGCGGCCCTGGTGCTGTTTGGCGCGCTGGCATGCAGACCCGTCATCACAAGCTACCGGAAGACAGGGGGGCTTGCAGCAGAGTGTCAGCCAGCTCTGCACTGAGCACGTGCCACTGACAGTTTTTCCTTGGCCAAATGTTCCCGAGCAAGGAAGCAGTGTGTTCGCTTATGTTCTGGCACAAGTGCCTCTGTCATCTGACAGTTGACCTTCTTGACTGTCTTGGTTCCCATAATGGCACGTTCTCTTTTTCCTCACTCCTGTTCTCTGAGTACCCCCTTGCTCTTCCCCTTCCTGCCCGCTCTTCCACTTCCTACCCTATAGCTGTCAGGGTGCCTTGGGGCTCAGTCCTGGGCCCTTTCTCTGCCTGCCTTGGACATGATCTCTCTTAATCCAATAGTTGATGACTTCCAAATACAGATCCTCAGCCCAGACCCAGCTCCTGACTCATTTATCCTATTGTCTCCTTGATATTATTTCCACGACGATCTCTAAGAAGCATCCTCACACGCAGAGAGGTACCCACAGAGCACTCAATGCGCTTCTTGAGCCCACCCTTCCCCAGTGCCCACTCCTGCCCATGCCCCTTCTTGCTTCTCAGGAGACAGAATCACCACCCATGCCACCCATGCGGTGGTTCAGGCTCCAGACCTTGGATTTATTCTTGTGTCCCCCTTTCCCTTATTTGCCATGTCCAGTCAGTCACTGGGGCCTGTCCCTTATACCTTCAGAACATAACTCCATCCTCCTCTTTGTTACCGCTGACCCACCCCGTGTCCAAGCCACCACCAGCCCCCCAGCCCCTAGACTGCTCCAGAGCCTCCCTTTGCGTTCCCTCACAATCCACTCCCCACTGACCAGCCAGAGGGAGCTTTTCAGCACCTGCGCCTCCCTACTGGAAAGCCCTTCAGCGCCTGCTGCTGTTCTTGGAATAATCTTGCCATGGCCTGCAGTAGTACCTCTGCTTCTCCCTCCCCTCCCCTTCCCTCCCTGGAGTCCCCTCCTGCCCTCGCCACCTCGCCACCTCGTTCCTCTCACTCCTCAGTAATCCATGCCCTGCCTGGCTCAGGCCACTCTGCCCTCTGCCTGGTGCTCTTCCCAGCTTTTTTTTTTTTTTTTTT